GTCGTCACCTTGCCATCTTCACATAACACTGCACGACAATCCCCCAGGTTCAACAGGACCAGCTCTTCTGCTTTCAGAAGAGCAACACAGGCCACCGTTCCGGACGATGTGCCGGATGCAAACCTTAGCGGCTGACTTCATAGGCCCAAAACACATCAAACAAGTGTAAACCTTCAGCTCTATAGGGCATAATATGATCCCAAAGTGTAAAGTGTACTTATTCAGCTACTGAGAAACTGCTTGGCTTCCTCAGCCAGTTCGTTCTGGATTAGCTCGTCCACAGCCGTGAATGCTTGTTTGGCAGCTTCCTCCTTGTTGTCGTTTTCTTGGAGGCAACACTCGAGCTGTTCTGGAAGGTACTGTTTGGCCAGAAGGGTGGCCTTCTCGCCTCCGTGACCGTCGAAGACCGCGAAGCAGGCATTTCCTCCAACGTTGTCATGGATTAGCACGGCATCTTCCATACGCTGCCGGTCATTCTTCGCGAGCGAGTACCCATACTGACCGTTGCCGCCCGACGCGTAGTCCGGCAGCCAGGATGGATCTTTCTCCCTGGCTCCACAACATTGGCATATGTTGCCCATGGCTCGCACGCGCAAGCCTCCACAACTAAGTCGACTATGCAATTGAAGCAAGGATGCCGGCAAATCGTTTGAAAGCCTCCTGTCGACTGTGAATGTCAATCCATTTCACAGCTTTGTGCTCTTCTTCGGGCCACAACAGGTCAAAGAATATACGTGGCACCAAGTCATTCTGAAAGAACAGCAAAGGAATATGCTATCTTCTATGTACTTCCCGACATCTGACAACTCTTCAGTTCAACGTATCGAAACTGGAGCTCGCCGCCTCTTCCCGAATTTGCAGCCGGAGACAAGTCTCGCCTTGCAGAAAGGCAAGCTCAACAGTGTCGAAACATCACAGCATGACGGACGAGGCTCGGAGTGCCCTTCGGGATGTGGGAGAAAAACTAATGCTGCTCTCACTCTCTCTCTCTCTCTCTCCCTCTCTGCTTTTCTTGAACACAGCCATTTCTTTCACCAGACCAGGCCTTGGGTACGTGCCCGTACTGCTTGGCGGTCTGTCTGGAGACATCTGACACTTTTTGCCTAGATTCCGCTACAAATGTAAGGCAAAACAGGCCCCCGAGGTACGAGATGGTACGAGAGGAGAGTGTCAATCACCAGACAGAGTTTCGAAAAACTTCTCCGGGAAATGTACTCGTGCGAAGCTGAAAGATGAAGTGCCAACAGAGGATAGGAGTTCAGCACGATGTACAGGTCACCAAGAACATTTCACGGGCCTGTAAGGGGGCAGCACTGCAACAGTTGGTTGCAAAGGTCAGGTGTCTCACATGTCAGACCATAGCACAACCCAAGCACCTTGGACAAACTGCACTGAACCACAATCCCTCTGCAGCGGCGTCGCCATGCCTGTAGGGAGGCACGCCCCTGTGTTCGTTGGTCTGCTGGCATCTTTCGCTCTTTCTTTCGCCAAGCTTTAGACGGGGGTGCTGCCGCTGCCCGCGTGCCAGCGCGCACCCACTTATTTGATTATTGTGTGGCGAATAGCGTCGAGGAAAGGATGCAAAACCGTCCCCTTGGTTCACGGCTGCGCGTTGCAAACGCGGTTCAGGACAATGCCCAGCACTACTGAACAAAACAACCTCTTTGCCAGGGTATGGTGCTCAGCTGCTCAGCATGATGCATGATCTTCGCAGAACGATGAACCTGCAGGTCTGCCAATGAACGTGACAACCTAATCGGAGTGGCTAGGCCCGGCCCACACCCTTCCTGGACGTGTGACTACCAAATGTACACGAATCACTCACTTTCAACTACCTAAAATCGGGCAACACCACGAAAACAAACCTTAAAGCCGTCGCATTCCGAGACAGAGCCGGGCCTTCGGCGGCTTCTTGAGCAATTGGGGAGGCGGCCAAGTCAGCGAGACAGCGCACAGCTAGCCACTGCAGGTGTGGGCTGTCCTCGGACCGGTTTGTCGATCTAAGGTTCCGACCTTGAGAGTCTTGCTGCTCAGGAAATCTGGGTCCGGAGACTCGGGCTTGGCTTAGAGGAGTCTTTCGCAAGCCTTTTCCGTGCTTTGATTTCCAGTGCCGAAAGCGTCTACGAACCCCCAAACCCTAAACCCCAAAGACTGGCCAAGGAGTTGGAAGCCCCGTTGAAGATCTGCGGTGACGTTCATGGCCACTCGGCCATGGTCCAGAATGTACGCGGCTCTACTCCTAAATGATGTACTGCCCCCACTCAGTAACAGTTGGATAATATTTGTATTATGGATATAATAGGCCCTTAATAGTAGCCCTATTATAGACTGTTACTGTATGGGGGCAGTACCCAACCTAAACGCTAAACTAGTTTAGGAAATTTTCAGGTGGGTAGTTACCGTTGTAGTTATAGGAGCCTCATGGAAGGTCTTATATACCCTATGGAAGCTTTGTAGAAGCCCTATATACCCTAAACTCCCTACCTGTGGTTTCCTTTAAACCAGACGAGACGACTTTCTCATGGGCTGCTAGATTGCCTCTGCTATGTGCCCCACTTCCGCCGGAACCATCCCCGGCACCCCACCACTAGCGTTTAGGGTTTAGGGTTTAGGGGTTTAGGGTTTAGGGGTTTAGGGTTCAGGGTTTAGACCCTTTCCGCCCCCACTACCATCACCGCCACCCCCCATCGACAGGACTGACAGAATAGGCAGGCGAATGTAAACTTGAGCCCTTTGCTACGTGTTTCTGGAGCTGCTGCCGTTAGTGCTGCTTGGGTCCTGGCGCTCGTTGGAGCTGCACTGCTGTACCTAGACATTGTTACATGTCGTCAGGATTCAAAGCCCAAGCCCCCCCATAAATCCTTCACTCCAGTCCCGCGCCTGATGCAGCGAGGTCAATATCATGACCTTTTGCGTCTATTCGAGTCTCTCGGCACCTGTTCTGGGGTCATCTTGCCTGATTCCTGCCACTGGTTGTCAGAGATCACAACGATTGAGGACAGTCCCTTGCTGCTGCGACGGCTTTTGGGGAGAAATCAGAAGCTAGGTCGTGTCAGCAAGCCAACTGCCCCCTCCGAACGCTATGCTCCAGACTCCAGACGAGCCTTCCTTCAGAAGTGGGGCCTGGAGCACGCGTCATATTTCTCATATAGGAGCCTAAATAATTACCTGTACTATTTTGGGGGTTCCTTATTGTAATTATAGTATAATGGGCCCCAAGACCCTATTCTACTTATTAAGGCCCCTATATTAGAAGGTCTGCAGGACATGACCACACAAGGGGCCGGTCTTCCAGGCCGGCTTCCCTAAACCCTAAACCCTAAACCCTAAACCCTAAACCCTAAACCCTAAACCCTAGGCGGGCTTCTGCATCTGTGAAAGGTACGGCGGATTCCCCCCTGAGAGCAACTACCTCTTCCTGGGCGACTACGTGGACCGTGGCTTGGCGGGAAAGCAGCGCCACTTGGTATAGTATTACCCAAACCCCCCAGGTACCTACTATATAGGGTACTAGAGCCCCTAGGGCCCTATATAGTAGGTACCTGGGGGGCTAGTCTTAAGCTTTGGGGTTTAGGGTTTTACGAGTATCATGCCTGTATGAATTTATCAACTATGCACTGCGTTTCGCAGCGATTGTTGACTGTTAGTCTTGGATGTTGTGTATCATATGTATATATATATATATATATATACACATGATTGCTCTACTGTTGCCTGCTTGAAGCCAACAAGCAGGTTGAGCGTTCCAGCACTTCTTGTTGACTTGTTGTCATTGTTGTGCCGGGGAGCCATGGGCTGTATGTATTGAACCTGGGTGACTGATCTGCTTCGGGACGTGCTGGAGGGCGCGACCTGGGCGAGATCGCTCAAGCGCATGGCAACGCTTCAGGACCACAGGGTGAAGCTCCGACGGCAGAAATGGGATGCAGACATGGCTGTGCATGACAGGGCCCTTGGCCGTTGGCTTAGAGGTGCCTTCTTTCGTGGCTGCTGCAAGCACGAGGCTGAAGTTGGCTCTTCGGCATCCGGTTCGTTCAAGAACAGATGCATGGTGACATGCCCCGCCGGCCCTTGCTGATGTCGTTCTCACCGAGATCGAGCTGGCTGGTCTCCCGGGACGCTCGTAGTTCTGTGGGGACGACCCAGCTCGATCTGGGGGAGCGAGATCGGCAAGTGCATTCGCGGGAGGCCCTTGGCGTGTGGGGTCATGGACATAGTCGTGTCTGCATCCGCTCATGGACTGGTGGTGTTAACCCACATGAGTGCTGAGGGGAGAGCTGCAGAGCCAGCAAGGCCGAGATTGTCATCGAGAAAGTAGGGATTTCTTGAACTGGCCAGAGGAGGAATCTATCCCGTATATACCCGGCGATGGAGAAAGCCTGACTCCGCAACAGTGCTCCAACTTGTAAAGAGAGGACTGAGACGACCAGTGGTAGTCTGTAAACCCAAGTTTAATTATGAAGGCCCCTATATTATGAGTCTGATGGCATTTTAGCTTGGGGATACTAGTGGTAATTGTATGTAGTATGCTGGCAATTGACAGCGGCTTCTTGCAAGGCACCAGCCAAGCAGCCTATCCCGAAGCCCGAATAGCAAAACCTCTCCGGCCCCCTCTGAGCACACAACTGGTCATCAAGGCACACCAGGATGCCCTAAACCCTAAACCATATGCCTCGCCTGGACTGTCCGAGTGCGAGCGCCGAAACCCTAAACCCTAAACCCTCATCCGTTCAGTTTCCTATTCCGAGAAAGCTTGCTTATCGGAGGAATGACTGCATGACATGCCCTGGAAAGGAAAGAGATTGTTGAATTATCCTAACCCCCCCCCCAGGTACCTACTACCCCACTATATGGGGTACTAGAGCCCCTAGGGCAGGTACCTGGGGGGTTAGGGTATTGAAGTTTAACCCCGATTGCTGTCTCCAGCAATGGTGAACGGATCTGAGGCGAAACACGAGAGGTGCCAGTTTCCGATATATCGCGGTTTTCAGGTATTAGGGACTGGGTTTGGAAGTTCAGGCACTGTTGAACCCCAAAGACCAGCATCTGAAACCGGTGGCAGGTGGCAAGCAGAGCTTGGAGACCATCATCTTGCTTTTTTCCTACAAGGCCCGGAGGGCGGGCGTAAGCTCGGACTTAGACTTGTCTATAGGTGTGTATGTATATCGCTGTGTGTGTATTTGTACATGCGTGCGTGCGTGCATGCGTGCATCCGTGCGTGTGTGGCTGTGTCTGTTGGGGTGGGAGGCGTGCATGGATATTCCTTGAGTTGGAGTGGTATTGTGGCTTGCGGCCGCCTCTGCAAGCTCGTGCGACTGATAGCTTCCTTGTCTTCTGCGGCTGTATTTCTTACATGTCTCAAGACGACGGATATTTTTGGTGATGGCTTTCGGGTCTTCAATGTGTTACCCGTCGGGGCTGCACGGCTTTGTAACCCTTTCGGTCCTGCCCACTCTCACGTGCCAATGTTTGATTCTGCGCTAGTGCGCTACCAGTATCCAGCTCCTGTGCATGACGTATACCAGACATGGAAAGCTGGCACACCAATTCTGGTCTGACTTGCGACTAAAGAAACAGCAAC